ACTCAAGGGCACACTAGTAGTGGTGTTCCAGCAGGATCTGAAACTCGCCAACCTCATCCGATCCATCAGCCACTTCACTATCCATTAGACTAACCAAAAATAAATAAAATAATGATAATTTTTTTTTTATGAGATCCATTTGGGTGGCGCGGACGTATTATTGTGGCGCGGCCCGCAAAAAATNTGAGATTAACAAGAAGGACTCACAGGAACTCAGATGCACGATTCGGTTGTGACTTCAAAAATATAATCTTTTACTTTGAAAAGTCTTCTGTAAAATAAAATATATTTTTGAAGTCACAACCGAATCGTGCATCTGAGTTCCTGTGAGTCCTTCTTGTTAATCTCATCTTGAACCCAAAGTTGTGTTAGAGCAAACATTTGTTCGTAATAAACCTATTTCCAATTTATGTAAGCCAACCATTTTGCTACAATATTGCGATGTTATTAGAAGGATAGCAAATTAATATCCCATTAACCCTAACCCTAGCATGGCAGCCAACTGCTCATAACCGACTCCTAAATTCCAATTCTGCTAACACAACATTAAGTATGTAGTATCTAATCCTGATTGAAACAGAAGGGATAGTAGGCTACTGTAATGTTTCCTCCTGACAACATTAGTTTATGTTTTATCCAATCATCACACTAATCTGGCCTGGTTCCGCTGTTCTTTCAATCTCTTCCCTACCTGCTACCAACCAGAAGAGGGGCAGTTTGTAAAGGCATACAGTAGTTACTTATTTTCTTAAGATATACAGGACTGGTTGGATCTTTAAAGGGGCCCTAATATGATAATTTTCAGGTTTCATATTTGCATTTTGCTCCTCTACTGTGACATTTTTACATTATTTAATGTTCTACTACCTTTACTGCAACACCTCTTTTTACCGTCTGTCTGAAACCAGAGCCCAGTCTGCTCTCGTTGGTTAGCTGGCCTGATCTGTTGTTATTGGTCACCGCTCACAGATGTGTCCGAAATGTCCCGCCCCTTAGCCTATCATGTAAAAACTCCCTCTGGAGGGAATTTAGGGATTTAAGCTTTTGCAGACCATTTCCATGCACACAAACCTTTATAGCACACTACTAGAAAGGGAAATCTCTGAAAAGCATAATAGGGTCTCTTTAAATCATCAACCTCATAAATGTGAAAACATGTTTTAGGACCACTGTACAGAGTATGCAAGTGTCAGGGATTTGCCTCAGACATATTGGTGTACATAATTCCATTTTATTGCTGTCACTCATTCTCCGGCAACCTTGCTTCGAATAAGTAATTAAAGTTTGCCAATTACATGCCCTCCCTACTTAGACTACCAAGCAAGAAATCAGAGCCTGCCATTTGTATTGAACGTGACAATAGATAAGGCAAAGCTGTATATAACCAACACAGTCTCACCCTGATCGTCCAATAGCAACGCTTGGTCAGGGTCCTTTGGCGTGCAGTTGTGATGCGCCGAGTGTCCTTCAGCTCCATAAACGGACGCAAAGAGCTTTCAAGTGATTGCAATGTATTCCCATCGGTGGCGGTATTTGACGCTTAGGGAAGCACCGCATCGGTCCATGTCGGCGGCAGTTAAAGGCAATGTGAGCGTCCATTCCCATTGGATAACGGAGGATTTTACACCCGGAAGTAAGTATTCTCTTTTCTGTCGATTCATTTTACAGTGATATCTGCACTACTCATCAACTTAAACACACCAGATTATCCTTGTTAATTACACAACATTGATAAGTTTAAATTGTGTACAATGCTTTTGTATTTTCCCCTTTCGATTCGGAGAAACAAATATTTTTTCTGAGTTTAGGATGGCAGAAGACACTACACTACCCATAATCCTCAGCCAGGGATGTGACCTCAGCTGTCATTTGGGACTACACCATTTCTTTGCTTGACAAACCCTGTGATTAGTCCTCAAGCTCTGTGATTGGATGTTGGAGTGGTAGTGGGCGAAGTTTATGCCCAGCGTCAAAAAGCACTTTGAAATGGAATGAAACCCATCGATGGCACACTATCCAAAACAGGACTCGAACGTGTCGTGCCCGTGCCTGTGTAGTGTCTTCTGCAATCCTAAACTCCGAAAAAATACTTGTTTCTCAGAATCGAAGGGGAACAATACAAAAGCATTGTACACAATTTAAACCAATCAATGTTGTGTAATTAACAAAGATAATATATATATAATAAAGACAATACTTACTTCCGGGTGTAAAATCCTCCGTTATCCAATGGGAATGGACGCTCACATTGCCTTTAACTGCCGCCGACATGGACCGATGCGGTGCTTCCCGGAGCGTCAAATACCGCCGCCGATGGGAATACATTGCAATCACTTGAAAGCTCTTTGCGTCCGTTTATGAAGCTGAAGGAGACTCGGCTCTTCACAACTGCACGCCAAAGGACCCTGACCAAGCGTCGCTATTGGACGATCAGGGTGAGACTGTGTTAATATAACACATCCATAACATCCAGAGCTCTTGTTAATTAATTAATTAACATTTTGCATAACATTCAACTAATCTATTCGATTAGAAAAAGCTAAGGTGGCAGTTATTAAAAATTCTAGCCAGAAGTGAAATAATTGCCAAGAATAATTTATAGGCGCTTAAAGCACAGGTCAGGTTTAAGGAGGAAATTGTCGTGTTGAAATGCTCCTGTGTGCCACCTGAGCCCTGCAAAGAAAAACAGACGTACGTGGCAAGAATTGGCTCAGTTTCCTATCCACAGTAATAATGTTATGAAACACATCTGTCTGATGTTAAGCTTAGCATAGAATCCCACTGTGTCACTGCAAGGTCTACTTCTTCATCATCAGTTGTTTTCTTACCATAAATAAAGGATAATATTTAATTTCCGACTCAGAAACTACTTTAAATATCATTAAGTGCACTCTAATTAAAATTATCTGGACTAGGAGAAACCCCAGGGACAGGCACTAAATCAATTAGCTGGCCTTGACTTATTTTCACACATCACATCTTAAGACAAGTGAGTTGCGTATAATTGACTCTGGGGACACATCCAGACACACATGCCAAGACGGAGTCTAACATGTACAAAAGCTAAACAGTCAAAGTCAGAAAAACACTTTTGAACAGCACAACTGTGCATTCCTAGTTCTTCAGCCGTAAGCCAAACATTCAGATCTCACAGGGACGCTGAAGAGATGTTTCTACCCACAGGGCGCACTTGATCCCTCCCATCAAACAAGCGTTTGTTCATTGGAGAGGGGGAAAGTCAAATAGTTTCACATATTTTTAGCTCTGAGGACTACATAAAGGTGAGCTGTAACGGCAGTTTTCAATGAAAGTCGCACATTGGGGGATTTTTGTCTATATTTGCTCCAAGTAATGTGCGCCTTGGATTAGATATAATCATGCCCAATAAAAGAATACTTCAAAATATGACGACTTTATGTGCTGATTTTAACACTGCAAAGTACTCTTAGGGTTTTTTTCTAACCAATGTTTTACCTTTCAACCCTCACTCATGCAGTTCACAATGAAAAGGGGGGCAGATTTACCTCTCAAAAATCGTTATTAATGAAATAATGGTTGCTTAATTTCAGAAAGCCGACTTTTTTTACAAAGCTGTGGACTGAAAATGTCATTTGCTGGCCGGCAGACATTATTATCTCGCTAGTTAGCGAGCTCCATGAACTTTACATGTTTATTGCTGACTAACTTCAATATTACAATCCAGTAATGCTAATTATCGATCCTAATTATTTGATGGCTACATACATGATTTCATTCTAAAAGACAAACGCTAATGCTTACCTAGACAAGCCAAAAAGTCATTCTCACCGGTTGATAGAAGACATTGAAGTAGTTGCAGGCTCTTGTACTACAGAGCTATTGAGTCCTAGAAAGATAAGTATGAAGATTTTGGTTTCCAGCTTATATACCTGGACTAGCCAGACAGAGATGGATTGATGCTTTCATGTTTGTATTTTCAAACAGTAGCTATGCCTCTATTTAACATTTTAGAGAAAATTGTTCGGTTGAAGGCTAACCATGTTTCCTTATCTCAGGTAATGTTGGCTTTGGTTGCTGTAATATAAACGTTCCTAAAGACAAAGCTTACACTGATATGGAGCTATTTCAGGGTCATAAGCTTTGATCATTCAAAAAAATACAATTTAAGTCCAAGTTTTCATCCTGAACTTTGAAAAATACAATGTTGTATTCAAAACAAAACAAATATTTGAAATAATTTTTCAGGTTGAATATTATTTTGATTCAGTTCAGCAATTTTTTTAAATAAAATATTTATTTTCATATTTCACTTTTATACATATTTTGATATTTGAATACTTTTTTCAGTTTCAGATTTTACGTTTTCAGATTCCAAACAATTATTTTTTCAGTTTCAAATCTTTTTTTTTTTCAGGTTTCAATCTTTTTTTCGCCTTCAGATCGTTTTTCACTTTCAGATCTTTTTTTTTCCTTTTCAGACTTTTGACCCTGATATTGCTTCGGGGGGAGGGGCTTGCCAAAGAGTAGTTTGGCTCACTGAGTGACAGGCCCATGGATGTATAATAAGAACTGGATACAGCGTGGGAGGCGGGGCGTCATTCATTCCTATGAGAGTTGCTCATTAGCGCATGATGATAAAATGGCCCAACTTTCGAGAGAGCGAAACGTCACAGATTACCCGGCATGCCTGAGAAGTACCTGTATGTGCGCTCATAGCGCATGCGCAACTTTAACCATGCCCCCAAAATGCTCGTTCACANGAGAGAGAGAGAGAGAGAGAGAGAGAGAGAGAGAGAGAGAGAGAGAGAGAGAGAGAGGCAGAGACACAGGGTGCAGGACCCACACGGTGTAGTTCCAGCCAATTGCATTCCAGAGAAGTGACCATGGCCATTGATAAACAAAGCACCATAGATCATTCCTCCCCCAGACGGAGCTCCGGTGCTGGAGGCAGCGGAAGGCAGAGTGGTCAGAGTGAGACAGAAAGAGAAGCAGACAGAGACAGAAGACCACAGAGAGCTCACCGCTTATATGCCCCTCTGCTATCCTCTGATGCTACATTTTGACGCCCTTTTTGCAACTGGAAAATGCCATTAAAGCCGGCTGTGCAGATTACATCACTGCATGACAAGAGAAAGGCAGCGAGAGAAAAAGAGGGAGGGATCCTTCTCTCACTGTGCCGATGCAAAGCAACACATACTGCCTTAAATTGTTTCCTTTAACAGAACAAAAAAGGTATTCAACACTTACCCAGATTCATTTGCATCACAACAGAAACCTCAGATATTCCTCCCAAACAGATGTGGAGCAGTGAGGTTCCCCTCTTTTGTTTGTGAGCCTGCCCGGGCTAGGTTTCTCTGTTTGCATCAGCCGGCTTTTTTACGGCTTTTGAAGCAGGTGGATGACAAAAACATCAATCTCTCCAGGCACATTGTGTGGCATGCACGCTTTGACACACTCCCCTCACCGGCTCAATACAGTAAAATCACACATTCCTATTCTCTCCTCGCAGCTCCACGAGTAAAATACGGGCTCAAAAGGGAAACTGAAGGACAAGTGTGCATTGTTGGAGTGTGCTTTTGTTGTAATCATGTTTTGATTGGATTAGAATGGGAATTTGCTTTCTCTTCAGTTACATTTACCATATGTTGAGGCAATTGGTAAAAGGGAGGGCATGGGTGAATAAGCCAGATTTTGAATCCTGAATCAATTCTATTGTTTCCCCTCTTTAAATCATTTATTGCAAACTTAGCTACCAGTCAGGTTAAAGATCAAAAGTCCAAAGTCAATACTTGATCAAAACTTAGAATATAAAAAACCAAGATATTTAGGATCAAACATGTGTCCTCTGCTCAGAGATTTTATTTTTTAGAAAACCTGCCTTTCATGAATCATATTCAGGCAGCAGCCTATACACCAACAATGAAACACATGAGCACAAACTACAGTTTAAAAAAGCAGAAATCAAATCTGAATTTACGGAGCCCCTAAAGGGAAGAGAAAGAGAGAAAAAAAGAGAGAGAAAAAAAAAAGTCAGGATAACGGGTTAGTATCTCGTGCGCACGAGATACTTTCTCGTGCGCACGAGATACTAACTCGTGCGCACGAGATACTAACCCGTTATCCTGACTTTTTTTTGGGGAGAAAGTTACCGGTGCGCCAAGGAGGAAGTGAAGCGCACAGGACACAACCATTTCATTGCAGACTGTTATGTTTACGTGGGGAAATGACAGTGCATTATTTGAGATATATTTCGTACTCAGACTTCACTTTAAGGACATTTCGGCCAGGGGTGTATGGTCACTCCAGGAGGCAGCGGGACGTCTAACTCAGAGAAGAGCAGCACCAGCGCTCAAAGAGCTTTTACGCACCGCCTTCTGTGTTTACCTTCATTGAACAGCTATAAAGAGTGACCACAGGCTGTTACGTTTTAACCACACACACCTCTACACACACACCGAACTGCCCGATTACTCCCCCTTTTATTAGTTTTATGGAGGAGATCGCCGGTCACCAGGACGCATGATGGGCGGACTGGGACTAAAAATCAGGGGTGCTAGTGAATTAATTTCAATTTTCCGACCCTGAAAATGTCTATGCAAACGTTATTATTAATAATAATTTTTTTTGTTGAATTTTCCATTATTATTTTGTAATCATCTCGCGACCCCCACCCGGGACCCCCTGTAATAATACATACAGGTAACCTCGCACACACTATTTTATGAACAAATAGGTTCTCCTACTGAATTAAAGAATAACAAATGAACCAAAGAAAGTGAAAACCATTGATTAACCAGACAACACAACACTGTATAATGTGTTGGGAAAAGTTTTGTTTGTGTTTTATGTTTTTCTAATAATGTTGGGCAACATCAGTGATAGCCTAGCTAGCCCCTGCAGAGCAGACCTTTTGAGGCAACAATACAAGTGGTGTCGATGAGGTACGGCAATGACACAACAAATAAGTCATGTTGATTCTGGTTTCACACAGGATATAAACAACTGGGTGACATTCCGTTATTTGGACCAACCCATTATTTGGACCAACCCATTATCCCAGCCATTCATCCTCCTCACTGTAGCTCTTCATCACCTTTCCTCGCTCGTTATAATGAAGTACATTTCAGTAACCTGTCTGTGTATTTAAACAATGTTTATAATATGATTTTGTCATATTCCGTACCATTTGTTGTACTTTAAGCTGTAGTGTAACGTAGCTGCAACCCAACCAACAGCCTTCCAACATGGACACCGAAATTATCTGGGAATTAAAATATGTAAAACATTAATACTTTATTGCAGCACTATTCTAAATATAAACAATAAAGTGAGACAAGTTGAGAATATATTCAATTTGAAGACGCCTAAAATACCTCAACATGAGCATTTGGAATGTGTATGAATCTATACTCCTTTGTTATGAAGAAAATGACTAAATCCTATTAATTATATTGCAAATTAAGACTAGAAGTTAACTCAATTTGCTTTTATTACCCAATCACATTTTATTGCATATTAAGGCAGCAAATTAGAATAATCTGAATTCAGATCCAAGTGTCTGCCCTAAACTTTTATTTTTGACAGCTTTGTATGTGTAACAGGTTATCCAACTTTTATAATCTTCGAAATCAGGGACTGCATTTGTGTTTTTGATTAATACAAATAATGTTAATGGACCTTGTAATCACTGCAACCAACAGTTAAGACAAAATAAAACTATTTACACAAAAAGTATCTGCATCTGATTTCCGATACTTTTGAAAGACACTGAATGCAACCGTATGACGTCACCTGTTTTGTTTGTCATGGCGGGATGTGGAGGTTTCAGGCAACTTCTTCTGACTTTCCTGACCAAAAACAAGTAACACATTGAGTTTTAAAAACTTTAATTTAAAGTTATACGTTCAAATGTGTGATTAAGGGTGCTTGTTTACTGAAACATGCCTGCTAGTTAATACTGTTTGGCTGGCCTCGCTAACGTTAGCTATGGGAAAACAGTCCTCCTGGTTTGACAGCTAGTTTAGACCAGGTTTACACTCACTGTTAGTGCGATGGAGAGTTCATTGGTGAAAGACAACCCACTGCTTTTACCTCTCAACAAGGAGAAAACTATTTATGACGGATTCATTACAGTCCAGGTAAGTGAATGCGTCAGTGCATTGTTCTTTCAACGACCCTACAACTCCAAACATCGTCGATTATTAGAATTCTAGGATTTCTAGCTTTGAACAAATTACCATGTTGATAAAAAATAACTGACAGGCGTTACATCAATGTCTACAAACTGCTGGTAAATTCGTCATATTTTAATAGTTCCTCACTTTGAAGAACATGTTTGTAGCAACCTTTAGCAAACTATTTTTCACTTGTGAAGGTTACCACGCACCGCTACGTTTACATTATGGGTACCAACTACTTTTTATTTTCAGGTATTGTTAATACCAATTGAAGAAGTAATATAGTTTATTAAGATGTGGAAAAAGGTTGTGTTACAAACTAAGTGCAGCTTTTAGAATAAGCAGCGGAACCTTCAATTGGAACATTTCTCATTGGAGTTCGGAAGGTCACGTGTTGCTTTTCTCGGTTCTCAGTATAAAGGTCATTAAAAATGCAGCTGGATAACGTTTGCACACGACCCTCCTCAATTCAGCTCCGTTCTTATGCCTGTCATGCTTTGATTATTCTCACAGGAACGAGACTTCAGATTGAGAATACTACTGCCACCAGATCGTCAAGTTAAACAGGCCAGGTATAAATGATCATCTCACTTTCTCTTTACAAAAATCCTAGCATATGCATAGTGATGTTCCAACCATAAATACTTTTTTCTTGCAGGCTGCACTGCTGCTGGCAGTTAAAACACCTGTTGCATGGGTATGAGCACATAGTGAAGCAGGTAAACTCTACCTACATCCCTAAATAATGAATACAAACAGTTGTATTTTGCTGCAAAGTTAATCATAGTATTCATTTTAAAGGTCTCTCTGCTGGTTCTTATTGAAATCAGGCTTTGTGTTTTTAGTTTTATTGCCATGTCATTTAAGCCCCTTTGTGTTATCTGCATTATGCCTGGCTTCGTACTTCTACTCCCTGTCAGCCACTCAGAAGCAGAACAAAATATATTTTTCACTGTTTAATTAACATCGCCTGGAAAATGTCCCTATTTGTTATGCTGCCCCTCAGGGTTATTTGGATGAGATTGATATTTCACCCCGGGCTGCAAAGTTCATTATTTTCACAGCCTTTAAGCTATCATTAATTATTAAAGCTGGTGGCAGCCCCCATTAATCACAAACACTGTGTTTGATTTGAATGGCTGGCTAGAGGAAGAAAAAAAGAATTGACACTGTCACTTCATTATCCTCCCATTCAAGGATGTCTCTTCTCTCTTGTTTGACTCCGCACAGAGGCAGCAGCAGTCGCCTGATCTTGTCACTTTCATTCTGGAGCTGAAGACCGTCTTGGTAAGGAGGAGAATGACACGGTCACTTTGACATTCGTTGCTTCATGAATAAGAAGCAAAAGGAAAGCTAGAGGCGCCATCAATAGCCTGATCTGGAGGTACCAAATACATGTTTGTTAGATTAATGAAAAGTGTAAGAACCTATGTGCTCGCCACTAAACACTTGCAGACTTACTGGCCCTGCTTGGTGTATTCATGCTATTCGCTTTTAGTATAATGATGAAGTTGTGATATGATGTGCATAGTAATCAGGGCTTAAAATAAGAAGCATCCTCTCTGTTGTTGCAGGAAGTGGGTCTGAAGAGCCGCCATGAGTGCCGCTCCATCCCGCCTCCTCAGTATTACGCTCAGCTCATCTCTGAGATGGAGACCCTTGGGTGGGGCAAGTAAGTGACAAATACTAGCTGTGTTTAAAGGAGCATAAAGCCTCTGATCAGACAGAGAGTGTCACACAAACCGTTAACTCTTCGCTAGCTTATATTGCTTTGTTTCCTTGAACCACTTATACGTCTTTTAAACAGGTATTTCTGATGGTCTTTCAATATATTAGTTTTACTGATAGTTTTGAGTACTTGTTTGGCTTCTAGTGATGACTTAAGGTTTTTTGACTGGTGGTTGATTAAAATAAGATGAAATAGTTTCCAAACTCATTCAACAAAAAAATAGGCTTTTACAATAGTCAAACAAATAAAAGAGGCAAAGCTCAAATCAAATGATAAACAGATTTCTATCATCTGTCTTTCCAACACGCCGTGCAGACTACTACTCATCTCCACAGCTTCTACACAGGTTGCCCCTATCGGTGGCACTTGAAGGCTGGCGCTGTGGGAATTGTAGTCTTTTACAGTTCATTGACTACAGAGGTCATTAGTAGGGTACAATATTATTTGACCATGACACAAAAACAAAAACTGTCTCTAACGGTACACTTTAAATGAATGAAAACAACTTATCTGAACCCACAAGTACACTCATTTTCTCTCAGGCTGCTGTTTTCTGTTCGAATCATGGTAACTATCCAGTAGGTAAATAATCATTGGGAATAAATGATTTAAAATATTTATGAAGTTGGGCATCTTTTTTCTGTGTTGTTTAACTTTTTAGCGAAGCATTATCAGGGAGAAAATAAATGAACTTGTCAGTAATTGAAAACAACTTCATAAACACACTGCTGTCTGATCAGGGCTTAACCCTCTACATGTCAGCTTACCTGTTTTTTTGTGGCTAAAGTTACTGTTGTTTCCTCCAATGAGTCAAATTGCATTTATGCTAAATCCTAAAGAGTAGTCTGTGGTAATCGACTAGTGTTGACTAGTACATTTTTGTGTTTAGAACACGTGATGGAAAACTTACTAAATGTTAATAGTTGTTGAAATTGAAAAAATAGGTGAACCAAATGTTCCCTGTTTCATATTGAACTGAAAATATTCTTATTTCAGGGTTCTTACGGTCATTAAAAAGATGGAAAAGTAATGGAGATTCAAAATGCTAATTCCAGGCCCTGGAAAATGTATGGAAAACAATATTTTTCCCAAAGTTTTGGAAAAGTCATGGAAATGTAACTAAAGTTGCATCAATTATAATTTATATTTTATCTAATCGCCGAAATAGTAATACTATAATTATAATAAATACTGTATCGTATAGTAATGAAACGTAAAATGGCATTTAACTGACGAGGTGTTTTGCTGGTGAGAGATTTGAGTTGCTTTAGCCTGTAGAAGCTAAGTATGTTTTAGATAGACACAACATGTTTCATATGCAGACCTTATTTTCCTGTTCCATGTTAAAATAAACCATTTTCAGTGGTACCGCTGAGAAAGAGTAATTTTTACGGTCATGGAAAATTAGGTAAAGGTCATGGAAAAGTCATTGAAAATCATTGGTGAAAAAGTGTATGAACCCTGATATTTGTACACGAGCAAGCTTTCTGAGGGCCCATTCCGTCCTCAAATGGCATCAGAATGAGGCGTTGGTGGTCCAGCTGCCATATTCTCACAGTATCCTGTGTGAAACACTGGTTGACTGCCATTGGCCTGAGATATAACTTTCTACAATTGCACTGGTTGATGTTTGTCTGTTGTGCATAGACTGTATATATAAAGGTTGTGTCAAATACATTTTTTGGCGACTAAACCCACACACCTACCCATTTCGCTGATTTCAGATAGAAGCCACTAGCTTGACACAACTCTAGCACGGCGTCACCAGGTGTAAATAGCTTTTATAAATGGACCTACAGTAAGAATCAAATGACAAAAAGTGGTATTTTCTCCAAATGACTATTTTTGTTTATCATGTTCCTATCCCCCCTTACATGGTCTCAGGATACTCTGAAAGACATTTAAGTGCAGAACTGATGGAGCTTGTTTCACGTTGATATGGTTATCAACTCTATACTTCGCTTTTCTCTTTAGAAGCTACATGCTATACACCTCAGAGTTTAGGGGCCAGTTATTATTAAAAATGTAAATTTTCTGAGACTTCTTTTACTTTTTGTTTACTTTCCCCAGAGGTGCGATTAACATACCGAAGTGTATACATAGAATCCTCTGGTGCCTTACAGAGCTATATGGAGCAGTCCTTGTTTTCCCCCCAGCAGTGATTGTAGCGCCAGCAAAAACACAGCTCCACATTAACAAATGGCTCTTAATGACTTCCTTATTTTTAGTTATTGAGTTACATTTAAATCCAGGTCACATTTAATAACTCTCGCCCACGTGCAGCGACAGACCCGGCTAATACCGTCGTCTCCTCTCGTCAGCAGGGAAGGGGGGTGGTGGTGCATCGTGGGAAGATATCTATTCTCCCCCAGCTCGGATTAAGCCTTGACTACTACACTCATTTTCCACTTTCCTATTAATGACCACGGCTACAATTATGATATTAGCAAAATGCGAATGGCTCTAATTGAAGACTCTCAGGTTTTAATAGGAGAAGGGGGAGGGGGGGTGAAGGTATGCTTTATGCTGAGAATGGGACCAACATAATTTTCAGTGTCGTGTTACGGTTAGCAGGCATTATACACAGTGGGCCTCAATCTCCAAAGCACTCGAGATTCGCTTAGCGTCTTAATTGGTATGGGCCGTGCTAATAGCCACCAGGGGTTTTCAGCTGTAATTCTGTCTGCTGATTGGCCCAGGTAAGTGAGTCTTCCTCTCTCTCCGCTCCCTCTCTGTGTGTCTCCATCCCCACGTTTGAAAGTGTGGTCATCTTAATTGGCTGGAGATGGCATACCATGTGTTAATTAATGGAAAATGAGGTCAAGTAGGTCAGCCGCCATCACTCGGTGGCCCTAAAACCGTGGCCCTGCACGCTACGGGGCTCATTACGGGCACAGCTGGCACTCATGTTCGCAGCCTCTTGGTGTACCTACCAAGGCTCCTCTTATCACAGTGTAACCACTCTGTCACAGTGTGTTTCTGCTCTTCTGAGGGCCAGGTACAGCAGCTCTCTGACAACGGGGCCACATAGACCCGGAGCTGAGGGATTACATGCTATCATGGATTTTCTTTTGCGTCGTATTTATTTTCTTACATTATTAGGCCAGCTAAAATGACTACTGGGATGGAAATGCATTCTAATTTAGGATTGAGAGGTAATGTGCAGTTAGTAATGAGGTTGTCCTGGTTAGCACAGTTGGACTGCAAACCAGGCTTAACTAGCAAGGAAAACGCCACAACAATAAAGATTAAAGATTGAATTAGAGGAGATATTGGATATTGAGCACTGCTCGGTGTAAGGAGTGAATTAGGATGAGGGATCTCGTCCAATAGGACCCCAGGAAGTACCTTTATTAGACAAGAAGTATGCACCAGATGAAATAGAACGAGAACAGGGTAGACAGGAAAAAGGATAAAGGGGTGTAAGAATGGAGGGATGGAGCGATGAAGGGAAGTGGGAAGGGAGGGATGAAGGCTCAAAGGGAGTTTGGGATGAATGGAGGAAGAGATGTAGAGAGAGAGGGAAAGATGGATAAAAGGATGTAAGGAGGGAGGAAAAGATGTAGGGAAGAAGGTTTGTAGGGATAAGGAGATCTAGGAAAGTAGGGATGAATGGAAGTACAGAGGGAGGAATGGATGGAGGAAAGTAGGGATGCAAATATTTGGGTAAAGATGAGGTGAAAGGCTTGAGAAGTAAATCAGGCCGAATGTGTTATCCGGGTATAGGTTTTTTAGCAGCTAGTTAAGTGTTATGGAGGCGTGTCCCGGCTCCCCGATCAAGTTGATTAATATGTCTCTAGGTTTAATAAGATCAGTGCCTTTCTTCACTTGGTTTGCACATACAGTGCTTGTTCGTCGTGTCTTCTATTATACCTTTGTATGCCATCTTACAAAGTTCTCGTGCAACACACCGCAGTGCATATGTGTTATTCTCACCGTTCATTAATCACTTTGTTGACACGCAAATAAAAAAGAGAGAGACATGGGCACACACACCATCACAAATGTGCGTGGTGTGCACTGTCTGGAAGAAGCTTGCCTGGCTGAGGAGTTACAAATGGGATGCTCTCATCAGTCTTCCCAGCAGGACGCCTCACTGTCACGCTGCTTCCATCATGGCAGCTCGTCCCTGCTATCCTGAGTGTAATACCTCAGAGTAGAGGAAATGGAAATGTGTGTGTAACTGATGCAGTAAGTGAGAAGACCTTGTTACTGCCGATACTAGTTTTTTGTAGTTGGTCATCTCAATGGGCAGCGGTTTGTTTGATGAAAAAGCAATGAGAGCTGCAAGATGATTAATGTTTAGCCAATAAGCAGCAGGGTCGGGATTAATGGCATTGACAAGCAGTTGTCAAGATTGTAGGCATGTCTTCTAAATAGTGTTGTATGAATGAGTCCTAAACCTGGGAATAAGTTAGCATTTTACAACCTGTCCCCTTGTCTCTTGAGCCCTTGTGATGCTAACTTCCAGGATACCCTTCAAAAATATGTCTTCCACATTCTCCTCTTAAATTGGTTAGAAAGGAAGCAATATAATATATGCAGGTACTGTAGAGCAGTGAGTGGTATTCATATACTACCAGGTGGCTTTAAACGTGTGTTGTGATGTCTGGCTTTTTAAAACCTCCAAAAAAAATGTTGTATGTCAATTGGACTCAACCGACTGCAAAAGTTACCTGCTGTGATTTACTCAGTGTCACGACTGAAATCGGAACAAAGAGAAACAGTGTTCTGCAACTAACAGCACTTCAGCTCAAACATTCAACTTCTCATTTATGGATTTGTTCATACGGCTGCTTGTCACTTCCTTCACTTGCACAGGTCTATTAACCGGTCATGCTTGACAGATTTGTGTATTTATTGCTGTTAGCAGTAATGGGTATTTTATAGGCCAGTACACTTTGTAAATGTGTACTGGAGGATATAAAAGTAACTTGGGTCTGCAAGAAGTTCTTTGCTGCTGCTAGATTATTTTGGCCAGGTTGGTTAGTGTGCTTGTTTGTGTGTGTTAAAAGGAGCAGATAAAGCAATTTGTTTATAACATCTTAATATGCCAATAGTTTTACAGATACGAAATGCGGAGGTCAAATTGAGCATGTAATAAAGTGACTCAAAAACATATTGAGATTATCATGATATAGAATGGTGCAGGAATAAGTCTTAGAAACCCAGACATTCTGGTTCCCTCATCTCAAATGTAAAGTTTTGTTTTATAGGTAGATGCCTGAAATAAGATCTGTGGTTACAAAAGCTTACGGAAATGTGTAGTTTTGTTCAACGACATAAAATCTGCAGGTAAATACAAAACAGCAGTTGCTACCAAACGACTAAATCAATCCTATTTGCTGCAATATTCTGAAATCCAAAGGAAAAGTCCCATTGGTTTTGTTTGAGGGACCCTTATCGATGCTAACTTTTTGGTATCAGCCTTCAAAATACATCATCATGCACAATTCTTTGGTGTGTTTATGTGTAAATGTAAGTGGGCACAAGACTCTTCAGTACCGTTGCCCTTCGCCAGCGTTTATTTGCAAGTGCGTGAGCGAGTAGACGCTTTAATGAAACGGGGAACATTTGAAAACGGTCTCCCATCATTCCATCACTTCCCTAAGTGTGTGTGTGTCATCCCTGCGCACACTCCTCTCTAACACACTCCATAAATCCTCTGCAGATATACAGCCATGTCAGCCTCGGCACACAGCGTCCGTCGTAATGTACTGTAAATCTGGAGAGGCACTGTCCAAAGCCTTTGTCTCGGATCAGTCTTTGTTTCCAGTGGACTAGAGGAGGACTTGAGAGGGGGAGGATCTGGCTCTTTCATAGTGTGCTGAAGCAGCTGTAAATCTGACGGCAGTGTTGGTGCACGCCCAGGCCACATCAGTGTTTGTCCTCAGCCTCAAAAGGTTAGAATTAGCCAAGGAGGGAAAGGGTCTGATTTACAGGGTGCCTTAAGCTTGAAAATGTGAACCCACCGCAAGGTCACTGAGAGAAACATGAATCTACTGTTAGTTTTAAGTTGTGATGCTACTGTTGGTATGACACTTTCTAATTGAAATGATCAATTTGTCTGGGAATACTTCAATGTACCAGACAATTTCTGGTAAAATATTATCTGAGTTTGTTTTTGAGCTTATAGAATTACTGATAGTAAGGCTATGTAAAGATTTTCATCACAAGGCATGAAGATTTATATTTTATTGAAAAGTAGGTCGTTTAAAAAAAACAAGTCCAATCGATAGACTTGTGCAACATTTTTTTATAAATAAATACTATGGAAGCCTACGTTGTAACTGTGGACACAATACATTTATATCAGGTTTAGGAATCAATATTATTGTTTAAAATAAATAAATGGAATAAAAAAACCTTTTGTAAATATCAAATATATGTATATCTTTTTTTCATTGCGCCTGAAAGCCTATTTGTGTGCTTTTATTCCTACAAACCCAACATTTTCCTGTTAAATTATACACTTGTTACTGTGAAAAAGTTTCCCCAAAAATCATTTAGGCAATCAAGAGAGAAATATTATTTAAGGGTAGGCAACTCACCTATTAAGTATGATCAATAATTATAATAAAGAAAAAAAGTTTTTTTTGTTCATTTTGATTGTGTTTCACAATACATTTGCTCAACTGTCCTTCTGTTCATTTATAAATGCATGCATTTTGTGAATACATGTGAAATTGCAGGTTAATTGTATTGCATCACACACCATTTTTCATTATCAGTCAGTTGAAGAGCGTAGAGAGTGCACCTACATTCCGTATGTTTGCTTACATTTTTATTAGTAAGCCCAAAAACCAGGTGTTATGTGGTGAAACAGGATCAAATTAATACCCTGAGCATCAGCAGGATTGCTTTTGCTGTATTCCTACATTAGAGCATTAAAAAAGGCACTTGCTGGAGGAGAATGCAAATAAGAATGTATAAAAGAAAAGCCTTGAACGCGGAGCTGTAGCCTGATGTAATGTCACCGTGTTGGTACCCGGAGTGATAAATCTAAAGGCAGAGTTGATGTCTCAATATTACTCTCTGCTGCTGTGATTAATGGCGGATGATGGCTGCTGTCAATTTACAGTGTGCTCTACGCTTCTCCGTGAGCGTACGCTGATTTATTGTGTTCGTGTCTTCAGGCTGCTCTTCATAGACACGGAGTTCCGAACGTTGAGACTGAAGGCGGAGGACTCCTCCAGAAGGCAGCACATTCTCAATATCAAACTCAAGTCTAAGGTACGACACACTCCCTGCACGTACAGAAACACACAGTTCACTGTAAGGACTGGATGATTTTCACACTGTGAATTATTCATGATCAAATGGAATACTGTTGACCTACAGCCAATCCAAATCCAAATACAGGCTGACTTTACCGAACGCATATGGGACGTTCAATTTGCTGATAGCAAATCAGTGATTTACATCTGCTCCCCTAAATCTAGGTCAAACTGGAGAGGGTGTGGAGAGACATGATAACCCACTGTGACTGAGATGTAGCACAGATAAAACATCTCCACATAGACCCCAGCATGATGGAAAACCTTCATCTATGCATAGAGAAAAGCCAATACACCCACACTCATCTGCATAGCTGCTGATTCTGCTCTCTGCTGAGAGAAGTACACAATACCTTCACCTGCTGTAGGTACAGAAAGTAAATGTCGGCTGGGGAAATAGCAGAGCCTTTTGAAATGTTTACATTTCACAGATCTCCAAAGTGTCAGATAAGAGGTGACAAAGTGTGTTTTATGATACTTTGTCCTGAAAAAAAAAGAAAAGTTTTTTGGTTGATTTTTGTATTGAATTGTAGATGAATCTAGACTAGTCTTGGAGTGTACTAGAATAATCCTCCACATTCTCAAAATCTGTATGAATAACATTTTTGTGAGAAAAATAGCTCCTTGTGTTGCTACTAGTAACTGTTTTCAATAGGCTCAAGGATACCCACTAGGGCTATAAAGAGTTTACCAGCTCCTGTTCCCGCTTCACTACGTTTTTTTAACATGTTTGTGGTGAGATGCCTGAAATAAGATTTGTGGTTAATACAACCAAGAGATTTTTAGGTATTGTTCTATGGCATAAAATACAGCAAATAATAGACTGATGAATGACCGAAGCTTATATGTGTCCTAAAAATACTGGTTGCTTACAAGTGGCTAAAAGAGACTATTACATGTTTTCACACCAAACATTAACCTCCTTTAGCTTAGCAGTGGAGATGCACAGCAATGGGACCATGATGGATTTAGTTTATATCTCAATGGTATTTATTTTACTTCTGCCGATTGAATTTACGAAAACAATCAAAAATCATAAAAGCGGTGTTAATATGTGGAGATTATCCTGGTGAACAAAACATCTAGAAATGCTTTTGCCAAAGATTATTTTCTGCAATATAACATAAACCAATATAGAAATCGTGTTTTGCGGAGGGACCCCTTGTGATTCTAAATTTAATTTAATTTCAACCAGGTCGGTCCCATTGAGATCATTGATCTCATTTTCAAGGGAGACCTGCAGAACCTGCAAATTACGGGCAGGCCTACAAAAATACGTAATCCCGCTCTATTGTAAAAACAAATACTTCACTACTATTGAAACCGAATAATGAAGTTTAAGCACAGTCAGCAATAATGGCCAGAACTATTAAGTTATATTGACGTTTCACTTACTCATGTTGTGGTTAACGCGAGGGATTCATGTCTATCAACTTTGACAATAAGGAAAAACTCTTGTGACACAAGAATGCATCTTCCATGGTCCTGTTTTCCCGTTTTGGGAATTTTACTATTTCGGTATCTGAAACTTTTCTTCAAATTTCTGTCAGGATTGAGCTTCTAGAAGCTGGCAGGATTGTTAGTATCTCACAGTGAGCCTGCATATTCTGGGCATAGTGAGGTGGTGCTTAGCTAAGCCCAGATGACATCCACCGGGGACAAGGGAGGGTGGTGGGACCCCACTCTGTGTCCACCTGCCCACCTGGCCCACCTCACCCCTCTGGCACCCGGTAAAAATAGCTTAGAGTGCATTCCAGCTGCTTCCACCGGATCCAGCGCCAGGTCATCCCTCACCAGGCACAGCTAGGGGGGAGGCAGCACTGGCAGGGACACATAGAGACTGGGAGGCAGGGGAGGGAGAGAGGAAGAGCTCAGGGAAAGGACAGGAAGTAGCTTGATGTTGAAGGTGAACCGGGAGAAGAGATCTGGCACAGGTGTTCTGACCAAAGCTTCTTATAGAGGAACATGCTTCTGTAGGCCGGCCTGGAAGCAGTGTATCCATTAGAATACAATTGTGCTGGTCAAGGTGACCGGTAAGATGTCAATTGACCGGACAAATGGGAAAACATCTGTCAAATATTATCTGTATTTGAGCTTGAAATTCATAGAAAAAGACATCATCGAGGCATGTAGATTAATATTTTATTTTAAAAACAATTTTAAAGAAATTCAAGCTTGCATAACCACCTAGAGCTGTCTGTAGTGTTATTTGTACACAAGCGTACCTGTGACGTGCACACTGTGGCTCGTTTTGAAGGATACGTGCTGTCAATAACACTCTTGTATAACTAAACAATGTGACCATGTACGAGAGACGATAACAAGTTCATATCCATAAAAATACAGACAGTTCAGTTTATTAATACGTTTTCATCAAAGCGATTTAATTATTGAAACTATATGGAATAAGGCAAAAAAAAGATGTGTGGCAAACACACTTTTATGATACTTACATATTTTGTTCAGCAGAATAATATCTACAAATTTAATAATATTCTGGACAGCTATGGACTAACCCAGCATATGACAGGGCCCACTCACAAATTGGGCCACACTCTTGACCTAGTTATAACCAAAGGTCTCAATATTTCTAACCTCATGGTCACTGGTGTTGGCCTCTCGGATCACTCCTGCATCTTTTTCAAAATGAATATCAGCATTTCTAATAAAGGGACAACACAGATTCTCACAAAACGACACATAACTGAAGACACAAACAAGTTGTTTATTNACAGCCAGTGGAATAGATGTGCCAAGCCTCCTCTAGAGATAAACAGATCATTTCCTTCTACGCCAGGACAAGAGGTTTTAATCGATTGAAATGCCACTCGCTTTGCATGTAGGCAGACACTTCGCTTCAACTGCTGCGTTCAAATCAGGCTGGTGTACTCTGGCCAGGTTTAAATGATGTGGGGCTAATATATAGTCCATGGTCTGACCTCTTGGAGGTGGTGGTGGGTGCCTGGCCCTGCTGGCGCGTATATGAAGGTGTCCTGTTTGATTGTAGGTCGCTCGGACTGCCTCTGTAGATCCTCTCTGCAGTAATTATTATATACAAGATATATACATAATAAATGAGTTCAGTGACCATTGTTACGAATAAAAATGATTAGTTAAGGGGACCCCATAAGATAAGATATTTAGGATAATATGCACCAGTAGTAGTGAAGACTAATACCTACATTTTGCTGCTCGGTGCTCAGAACTTCTGGATGATGAGATCGGGGAGGGTGAGCCATTCTCAGATGACAGGCCCGGCTGCCAAGTGAGGAAGTGTGTTGAAGCATCGCGATCCAGAGCTGGGGCACTTGTGAAGGAAATCGGCTGCAGTCCCATGCGTCAGAGTATCTTTTTTGCAGGATTTGCAGTGTCCTCATCATTTTGTTCCAAGAGTTTCAAGATCATGGTTTGAAGTGGTAGGAGTTCATAGAACGATGTGCGTTGGTGGGGCGTCAGTACTCAGTATTGAGTTGACTGCCTTCAGGGAGTTTGCCATAGATCTCAATCACGTCTCTGCAACTCGTTACCTCCGTGTGGTGCCGATGGCGATTGCAATATCCTTGTTCTTCAGGCACGCACTGAGTGTAAACAGCCGATTGCTGTTTCAAGGGTTAGGCCGCGCTCAACCCATGTTGCATAGCTGGATTCTCCAGTGTGTGGGCCAGCACCGTTGATGGAGTCGGGTGTTTTGGCAAATTTAAGCAGTCTCTTGCTTCTGCGCTCCCAAACATGTAGCACCATTGTGCTGCACGGTTCCTTGTGATGCTAAGTTTAATGTATGGGCAAAGCATCGCCTATGTTGTGGACCCGAGTCCCTGTGTGTTCACTGACTGGCTTTAACAACTGGTTTATTTGCATTGTCCAGTGGTAACTGCGGACTAGTTTTGGGCTTTTTCAAGTTCTCATACTCTGCTACTGCCTCTTGTAGTCTCGAGGCTTAGGTGGTCCTATGGTGCTGCTTCCGATACACGACGTGAAGTCAGAACCTGGATTTTTGGAATTCGCCGCACTCCGGAGTTGAGGAACCGTGTACGTCCACTGTGAGATAACTTTCAGTATGCATGGGAGTCCATTCCTAACCTGCAGACGCTGTATCTTCACTGTGTGGCAAGAGTCACATGTCGAAGGGATATATACGGTGTGGCCTGTCCAGTGTGACAGGCCAGCGGCGACTCCATGTTTCCCCGTATCCACCCCACATTTGTACCGATCTGCAGAATTTTCTTGAATGTTCTTCCTTTTTAACCCTTAGTCATGCACGAGTTGACTGGACTCTACACTCTTCCATAAGGGGTAAGAAACGACCCGCTATTAGAATAATATGTGTTTTTAGCCATTTTTGTCATTTCGGTTAAGAAAAATTACTGTAGAGATATTTAGGGCCCGAGCACGGAGCCCCTCAGGACCCAGTGGGTCCCTACGGCACGAATGTGCGAGGAACCTATTGGGTATGCCTACGGTATCTTCTTATTATTATTATGGTGCTGGCTTCCTGTTTTTGACGGGCTTTGAGGGCCGCTTCAAAAGTTGTATAATTTTGCCACGGACGCCAGGACCGGTCGAAAAATTCAACTATTCTGGAGTCAATGGGATCAAATTATTCAACCTGCTCGCTAGCGCCACCTAGTGAAAATTCCCATTTGGAAATTACCAAAGTCGCCACCGTAACTCAATAACCTGACATTTTGCCACACTATCCGTCCGACAGGACTATAGTAAGAACTGGTACAGGGTGGAGGCGGGGCTCCATTCATTCCTATGGAAAGTTTTGCTCATTGTGCGATGATGATAAACATGCCCAACTTTCGAGAGAACGAAACGTCACAGATTACCCGGCCATGCCTGAGAATACCCGTAGGTGCGGCTCATGCGCATGCGCAACTTTAACCATGCCCCGGCAACATGCTCGTGTGCACATCAAGCACGGGGTCAATTTGTGTACACGTAACAGCACCGCGCGTCATGGACCAGCGCCATGGCACTTCCCTTATTATACTCCATGACTGGATTGTTTTATGATGGAGTTTGATATTAACGAGGCGGCTGCGGCAGTTAGGCAGGCTAGCGGCTAGCTAGTTAATTAGCCTCTTAGAGCTCTGTACGTGTTTTCTTGTTACTTATGACCGGTTGTTGAAGTAAGAATATTATTTCTATATTTCTGTCTATATGTGTATGGCTCTGTACGGGTGTCTTTTCCTTATGACTGTTGTAAG